ACATGAAGTGATTAACAAGAATCATGGTTTGGCCAACTCCATGAAATGTTCTTCTGTGTACGTGAAATCTGAAATCCGCTTTTACGAAAAGCGTTCAGTTTAAGGGCACAGTGTATAATTCCAGTGGAACGGCCGTTTCTCGTTGGGCTGGTAGGTCTCTTGGTCCACAAGGGTACAACTTTTGCTACTTCTGCGGTTTCCTCGAGTACTGAAGGTTCATCATCAGAACCGAAGGCGAAATGTTGAATTCATGGTGTCCTTGCAATGTCTTAGAGTTCTAAAGGGTTCTCCGGCTGTAGGGACACGATGAACATCATATCATTCGTTCAGTTTTCACGAATAAGACCGGCAAACGCATGGGCGGTCATTCAGGTGTTCCTTTGACATCCCGTGAAATTCAAGCTGGCACTGCTCCAAGTACAGCTGTCATCTTCATAAAGCACAGCGTGCCCGGCCCACCTGATCCACGAAACCTTGCGGCTGCGGCGCTGGTTTTCGATTATCGACGGAGTGCGAAGGCTACTGATCCCTCGTCTCCCTTGAATGTAACGAGTAACTCGCTCTCACCATGGCGCGTTGAATGACACTCATGCTTCGTAGAGCCCAGGTCTCCTGAGGAGTACGATGAAGCAGGAAGGACCGTGGAATGAAGAGGTGGGCACTGAGCTTGGTGTTCTTCGTCTTCTTCGCTACTCCCTCGATGTTCTTGAAGGCTCCCTAAGCCGCTCGCTTCCTCCTGCTCAGCTCTGGTGCTAAGTCGTTTATCATGTTGATTTCTCCACCACGGTACACTTAGCTAGAGCACTCAGAGTCTTTTTTTCGTTGAGCGAGGGAGAGCATAAGAAACCAGTCCGTTCCTCATGAGCATCGTCATCGTCAGATTCATTTGCCCAAAAAGCCCGTATATCTTCCCAATCCACGACTGTCAATTCCCGCATGTGCCGAAGATGGCACGTAAAAAGTTCTGCATCTCGGTTGGGTCTTAAAACAATACTAAACCTATTCATCGGTTCACCGGCCGTAGCAGCTTCTGACTACCATTTACTTACTGCACGAATACATCACTAGAAAACAAGAAAACTCATAACTGACGTCAGTTCGAGAATGAGATCGAGCTCTTGCTTCCATGAAAGCCGATGGACCAAGACTTTTGGGCTAAACTTTTTCTGGTTGAAGTTTTCGGTCGCTTTAAGCAGCCATACTCAGGTTCAATACTACCTTTCGAGTATTGCCAGGACTTTCTTTTCCACCTGAAACGCTTTCATTTGAAAGTTATGGTCTCGGAACGTGACAAGGGTGACGTTTCAGAAGAAGGAACCTGCCCTCGGACCTTCTTGACAAAATGGGAAAATCAACAGCGATTCGCCAAGAGTTGTCACATAAGTAGAAACGGTTGACCCGTTTAGTACTCCTCCCCAACAAATTTCACTTTCATCGCCAACCACTTGATAGGATAGTAATCTGACGATAAAAACAAAAACTAGCGTGATTGGAACACTAATATCGAACATCAGGTAAGAACATAAAAAAACGTACTTATCCGATGGCTTGGCCCAGTCAATGCCCTTTTTCACATCCGACGACGAGGTGGCCCGGTCAGTGCCCGTTTTCACCATTTGCTCAGCGGCCTTCACAGGCGGTTTCTTCGTATTTATATTAGCCTTTTTATCTGCATTGCTCTTCGCAGGTAATACCTAAATATGTAATTTTAAAAACTGAAATGACCCAGAAAAGTTTCGGCAAACATACCACGGCGCCCGAGGCAATCGCGGCTTCCAGCTGTTTTTGTTTCTCTGCGTTCCTCTTTCGAGTCTGAAAAATAATCATCGTACAAATAGAACGAAATTTATTCTAATAAAGGATTATCTTTCAGACCCTATCGACATACTAGGACAGTTTTGTTAAAACCTTCAAACCCTACAAGTTGCCCAGTTCAACTGATCCGCACATTTCTACGATTTTTTCTACTTACTAGGGAAGGTCGTCAGGTCGAAGTGGCCATTTGTGATGAGATGTAGATCACTAGACGTGGTTTTGGACGCTGATCTTGAATCTGCCTTCAAAATTTGCAAAGCGATTCTCTGAACGGAGTTATGGAGCCGCGTTTACCACGCAACAGGTCATGGGATCGGATCCCTGCTGAGCTTAACTTTTTTGCTTGTTGCGCAAACGTGGCAAAAAGTGATTTTGCCGTCACTACTACTTCAGTTCTCACCTGAGCTTGTCTGAAGAAAAGTTGGCTCCATTTTTATTACTGCGCTTGGACTCCTTGTAGACTACAGTGCACTACAGTGCTTCTACAAGGAGTCCAAGCGCAGTAATAAATGGAGGCAAACTTTTCTTCAGACAAGCTCAGGTGAGAACTGAAGTAGTAGTGACGGCAAAATCACTTTTTGCCACGTTTGCGCAACAAGCAAAAAAGTTAAGCTCAGCAGGGATCCGATCCCATGACCTGTGTTGCGTGCGTAAACGCGGGCTATAACTCCGTTCAAAAAATCGCTTTGCAATTTCGCAAGACAGATTCAGAGATCAGCGTCGCCAAAACCAACGTCTAGTGAATCTGGCACTCTTCATCACAAATTGGCCGCACTTCGAGCCTGACGGACCTATCCCTAGTTAGAAAGCAATTCCCGCGCACGAAAAAGCGTCCGCATAAAGACCCTCTTTATTTTTTTTTTTTATTTTTTTTTTTTTTATTTTGCAATGATCAAGACACCGGACGAGCGGCAGGTTGGTCAAGATCAATTGTGATTGCGAAAGACGGCAATACACTGATAACAGACGAGAGGCCAGAAAACGACGAGCGAGAGAGCGCAATGGCAGTCTCACAAACACGGCCACTGGAGGCCGGCATGGCCTGTTAGCGCAGATTGCTGTTTGTACCCTGTACGCGTGTTGTGAGCTGCCTTTTTCGTAATCGTTTGATTAAGAGCATAGCGGCGTGCGTGAGCTGTTGCGTGTGGTGACCATCGTGCACGGTTATGAGAACCTAGCCTTAGTTTATCGCGGAACGTGCCCTTAAAAGGTACAGAGAAAGAATGGCGGCGAGCCAAACAAGAGTTTTTGCTTAGAGTAGAGCGGAAGAAGCTCATATTCCACCTAGGTGGGCGATACTTTTGCGAAGTGTTTACATTAGAAGGAAAGCTCTGATTCTTGTATTGTGGACCTAAATGTCTTGGGTGTTCTGGGCAAGGTGAGTTACATCCTATATTATATTTAGTATACCAAATTAAATCGGCAAAACTTTCCAGCTAAAGTTTACGGGACTTTACAAAATAGACCAATTGTACATGCAGGAGCTTGAAAAAAGCCCTCCTGAGAACGAACCAAAGCATGGAACGGCTTCTGGCACCAAAAAACCGACCTCCAGAATATCTTGCAGCCTCTCTTCCTCCTTTTCACGCTCACTTGGTTCATTGGAAAAATAACTGCAAAAAATTAGGGAAATTTTATGAGCTCTGTGAAGGTGAGAATATACAGGAACATCGAAAACATTTTTACTTACTCTACAATCATAGCCGGATTCGCCTTCGCTGTCGGTGGAACGCTGACATCCATGATCGGAACAATGTCTGTTGTGTCCCAAGTATCTGCTAGGACCTAAATACGCACCACATGTCATCCAGAACACAAAAATCGCAATTCTTCGCTGTGGAGTCAACGAAAGTGCAATAATACGCTTACGACAATCATAAGAACTCACCGGCACAGCCTTTTCGGACATCTCATTCGTGAAGAAGACAGATAATTGAGTCACATTAAATCTGACGGTTCCATCCTCTTCTGTTCTTGCCATGAAATCAAATACCTCTTTCGGCACACGAACTACTTTTCGCTAAAATTTCACCAAACTTTGTGAAAAATAAGCCAAATCCAAAATTGTAGATGAATAGCAAAATGCACCCTGAAAATCTTCTGCTTCTTTTTAGGGCCTAGCGTGATCTGAACTTGCTCTCCAGCTAGTTTTGCACTTTCGTTAGTCTCCCCTTTTGACTTGTCCTCCGACTCAACTGTTTCGTCACCTTCGCCGCATTCGTCAAGAACAACCATATCGTCTCTATCCGATGATGTTTTCATGTCGTCCTAAAAGAAACCATCTTACGCAAAACGCTGCAGTTGAGATAGCGTGAAATATGCACGTATGGGATCCCAAAATTACAAAGCGACGCGTAAACGATGTGAAACTGGTAAAAAACAGAATGAACATCTCCTAAAAATTCACTGACAACAATGCGGAAATGCGTAATTCTTCAGAACGACTGGAACTACCATAGCATACAACGCACTATGTTAGCAAACAATATAGATGAATCCTACGGAGGATTGTTCTAATGTC